GGGCGATGGCGCCGCGGGGCCGCCCCGCCTGCCCCCGCCTCCCTCCTGGGCAGCACAGAGCCGGGCTCAGGCCGCTGCCTGTCTCATATAGAGGGGTGCCGAGCTTTGTGCTCGTTAGTTCGAGTACAAGCAGCCCCAAATTGAGTRTTTGCCCTCGTTTGGGGGTTGTCGGACGTTCCTTCCTCTGCTCCCCGCTGCTCCCGAGAAAAGCAACCTGCTGTATGTTTTAAGATGCTGTTCTTTTACAGCCMACCAAGGGTAGCATTACTCAGCCTGCATTTTCTTTCCCAATAACTGAACCTCAGCCAAAGTAGAAGAAAATAAATACTGGATTTGCTGCTGATCCATTCAAAGCTGCCAGATGCGTAGCACACATCGTTCTCTTGCTCATTGGCTTGTGGGGTTGTGAAGGGCGACTGTAAACAAGGGCTGTCTGAGTTCCCTCCAGGTTAGGAGAGGGAGATTCCAGCGTCTCTGGAAAGATAAGTGCATCCATCACTGATTGGGGGAGGTTTCATAGATAAGTGCTTATAGAAGTTCCCCAGGCTTTCTGTGTGACTGGGTTCCTCGAGGAGATGTGACAAAGGGAACAGCATGCTGGAGCAGGAGGAAAYGGCAGCATTTCTAATGGCATTTGTTAGTAGTTTCAGGTGAAAAACTGGTTGAAGGGCAAGTCATTGAACTTGAAGATGGGACCACAGCTTACACCCTGACTGTTCAAAAAGGTGAGGAGCCTGCGCTTACTTTTCTCTTCTCAGAAGGATGTCGTAGGTCCCTCTTTCAGAAAGATTTGTGAATTTTCTTAACGTACATTCTTCACGTACGTTCTTCACGTACGTTCTTCACGTACGTTCTTCACGTAACGTGAATTTTTCTTACAGAGCAGTGGAACAGGCTGCCCAGGGAGGTTGTGGAGTCTCCTACTCTGGAGGTCTTCAAAACCCGCCTGGATGCCGCCCTGTGCCCCGTGCTCTAGGTGTGCCTGCTTGAGCAGGAAGGTTGGACTAAATGATCTGTAGAGGTTGCTTCCAACCTTAAATATTCTGAAATATTCTGAACGTAGAGTATCTTGAAGATAGGCAGCCCGTGGTGCTGGAAGATGGTAGCATAGCCTACGTACACAACACACCTAAAGGCAAGAAGCATTCTCCATCCTTTTATTAACACCTGGAAGATAATTTCCTGAAGCTTTATGAATTTCTAAGGCTCTGGGGAGGTGAACAGCAGCCCACAGCCATCACCTCTTTCAGATTTGGCTTGATGGGCTCCCTTTGCAGAGTGGGACAATACCCACTGAGCGCAGAGAYGGGACTAGGGAATTCTGTCTCCCGATTGCCTGCTCTGTCACTGGGACTGCATCGAATGTGTACAACCTGTGCTTGCAGGAACACGCGTTGGTGATGCTGTCTGATGCACACGTGTGTGTGTGATGAGGAGGAAGATGATTCCTGTGGGCTTTGTGCAGTCTGCTGTGGAGGCTCCTGAATCCCATCCCACGTTTCCTTGGCAGGATTTGCAAGAAGCGGCGCGCGGCGGCGAGAAGGGGCAGCAGGCTGGCAGCAGGGCTTTCCAGTGTGGCTGCAAAGGCTGTGGCCGCCGCTGTACCACAGCGCACCACTTAAAGGTAGACCTGTCGCAGGCAGAGCAGGAACGTCCCCGTGTTACATCGCCAGCTCGGAGCACTTGCTCTGCAAAGGCCTGAGAGTTGCCTTGGTCCGCACAGGGACAGAGTCAAGGCACGTTCTGGCACTGACACATTGCTCCAACGTGGGTTTCTCTCTGTCTTTAGGGAGCTGCTTCACCCTTGAACACAGGGAAGTGKTTTTAAAACTTTAAAACTCTCACTTTAGAGACCTGTTCCTTCCATTCTAGGTACACGAGCGGGCTCACACCGGAGATAGGCCATGTACGTGTGACTTCCCAAGCTGTGGGAAAGCATTTGCTACAGGTAACGATTTCTCTTCTGCAAGTGCTCTCTGTTTTGCCCTCTCCAACCTGCCATGGAGAGGATCAGCCCCTTSCAGCAGAGCACAATAAGCACAGGTTTTGTGAGAGAGAATTGCAGCATGTAAAACTGCCCAAAATGTGGCTGATTGTGAACAGACAAAATGAGTCAAGGCAATGAAATGAATTCTCAGCGGCGTTGTGAGGCTTTTGGATATTCTGTTTCATTCAGGTGCCTAGGGACAAAAGTTTGTGGATGCAGAGCTGGTCCACAACTCGCTATGTTACTTCCTCTGCACAATAAAATTAACTGTGTGGTGTTTTCCCTTGCCAGGATATAGGCTGAAGAGCCACATGAGGACACACASTGGTGAAAAACCTTACAAGTGTCCAGAAGACGTGTGCAGCAAAGCCTTCAAAATGTCCGGRGATCTGCAGAAGCACGTGTGGACACACACGGGTGAGCAGCAGGGAAGAGTCCCCTGGGTACCAACTGCAGGGGTATCCAAAGTGAAACACGGGCCCCTCTTGTGTGTCCCTGTCCATGTAGGTGAGTGTCCCTTCAAGTGTCCGTTTGAGGGCTGTGGCCGCTCTTTTACCACGTCCAACATCCGCAAGGTTCACATGCGAACACACGCRGGAGAGCGGCCCTACGTGTGTGCAGAGCCCAGCTGCGGCAGGGGCTTCACCAGCGCCACCAATTACAGGAACCACATGAGAATCCACATGGGTAAGAGGAGAGGGAAGAATGCCATGCGTCTTCCCTGGCCAGCTGCATGAATGGCATGTGGTATCAGGCAAATAATGGCATGTGGTATCAGGTCTGAAATAACCATTTCCAGGGCAGGCTGTGATGTAGATATGGAGCTAGCCAGGGGAGTTAAAGGAAAGAGGAATTGCCTAACTGGGCTGTTRATAGTTTCTTCTATCCTGTCTCTGTCTCCAGCCATTCCCTGTTGGGAATCCCTTCCCAGAGTGTGGGCAGAATCTCTGCCCGTGAGGCTGGCGGAGCTCGGAAAGTCACGGTGGGCTCTGCTGTAGGAGAGAAGCTGTACGCGTGCGCCGTGCCGGGCTGCGACAGGCGCTTCATCGAGTGCTCCAGCCTCTACAAGCACACGCACTGCRAGCCCTACGCGTGCCGTAGCTGCGGGAAGAGCTACCGGCAGACGTCCACGCTCACCGTGCACCAGCGCAGCCGCCACGGCGAGCGGGAGGCCGCCGAGGAGGCCGAGCGGGCCCTGTGCCTGCTGCAGCTGCAGGGTGAGCAGCCGCTTCCCCGTTCACCCGTACAGGAGCCCCGGGTGGATGTGACGTTATCCCCGGCACCGTGTGCTCTCGTGTTGGCCCTTGGGGGTGCAGTCGGGCCCCGCGCGTGCTTGTGCTCCCATGAGTGCTGCCCTCTCATCCCCTTTGCTCCTCCCTTGCTCAGCTGCTGCTGAGAGAGGCTCCCAACAGAAGGGCCAAAATGCGACTTCCCTGTCAGACGTGGAGGAGGATGAGGACAGTGAGGAAGATGAGGCCTGTGTGGCTGCGCGACTCGCGCCTCTCTCTTAGGAGGAGGCGCAGCGGGTATGGACACTGACCTCCACATGATCCTAGGGGAGATTCTGCGTTTTTTGCAGCTGCATTCCCTAGAGTGCTCCCTAAACAGGGTGTCCCACAAGGGCTGGGCCTCCCTCTGGTCCTCAGAGCTCTTCTTGGTGCACAGCAGATCCCAGAGATTTGCGGGCTCCATCTCCTATGAGCGCTCCCTCCGTACAGCCTCACCGGCTGCCTGCCACAGTGATACAAAAGATGCCGCTTAAGAGCTTAGGAAAAAAGCTGCTTAATGGGAAGGGGAGGTGGTGGTGTTAGAAGCAGGTTTGAGGTTTGCGGGTCTGCACTCACTCTGTCACCCTGGGCAAGTTCTTTGAAATCCCTGTGCCCTGTATCTTGCCTGCAGGGTGAGAGTGTTCCTTCCTTCCTGAGCCTGCTGTGTTGCTAAMCTCGGGAATTGCTTCAGGCTTCCTGAAGAGCTGTTGTGGCTGAAAGCCCCTGCTTTCACGGCCCGCAGGTCAGCCTGTCCCTGGAAGAGCTGCAGGTCCCGGGCAGCGCCGTCAGCATGGGGACACGGAGCAGCGCCCTGGCAGGGCCCGCAGGTGACGACCCACGTGCCGTGACCGGCCCTGGGATGCAGCCGCTGTGGTGGACATGGCCCTGCCGCTCCCGTGCAGGGAAGGATGCACCCAAAGGGAGCCAGCGCTTCCTTCACAGCCGGATCATTTTTATTTTAACCATTCCCAGATCACGGTAGTCGCGTCCGGAGCAGTTGTGCCTGAGGACTCGGCCGTCACATCCCCCTGCCATCAGCAGGTGGCACTGGTGGGTGCTGGCACGTGGGCACCCACAGAGCGGTGCAGGTACCTCGCTCCCCTTTGTGCCTCTCTTGTATCTCCATCCACCCGCTGGCTTCAGCACCTGCCTCTTCCTTTGCACTRATCACTCTCTTCTGGGACATTTGCTCCTTAATTCTGAGATGTCCCGTGTGCTGAGGAGAGCAGGGACACGTAGGATTGAGACTGCGGGGCAGAGAGCATGGGGAGAGCTCCTAGGGGACCTCCGTGCTGCTGGGGAGGCCCTGGGAGTGACCTYGGGGGAGGGCAGCGTTTCTCTGCTCCCGGCGCTGGAAGAGCAGCGGGGCTGGAGGAGGCTGCGGGCCGCCCCGCYGTGCGGCACGAGCCCCCTGCCATGCGGCCGTACCCGCCAAGGGGCGCCGAGGCCTCGCGGTGCCTCCTGGGCAGGGCGAGCGGGCGGCCCCAGCCCCTTCACCACGAGGTGTGGGGCTCTGTCAGGCGCGGAGGCCGCGCGGCGCTCAGAGCACACCTGGAGGGACGGCCCTTCTCTTGCYTGCAGGGATATGAGGGACTCGTCTGCTGCCTTCTGCTCTCCTGGGCACAGAGCAGGGGCCTCTGTGCTCCTGGCCTTGGAGCCGACTCCATCTGCCTGAAGGAGAGGACAGAAGTGTCTTCAGCGACTCCTTCGTGGCTGAGGCTCCGCCGACCCTCAGGGCTTCATGAGGGCCCCAGAGCTGCAGCGATTTGGGTGGTCGCCGAGTGCAGAGCCTTTTGGGGAGCGTCGTTGTGAGGGGCGGCTGGGCAGCTCGAGCACAAAAGCAATAAAGGCCCAAAAGGGGAAGCGTGAGCGCGGGGCCCTGGTGGGAGGCGGGAAGCGCCGTGTSCCCCGGCTCCCCCGGCCTGGCTCCACGCGCCCGCCCGCGTCGGCCTTTCTGCGGCTGGCCACTGTCCTCCCGGCTCTCCAGCAGCCTTCCTTGGCGGCCTCATCCCTATGGAGCGGGGAGAAACGCTCCCTCCGCAGCACCCAGTAGCCCTTCCTGGGGCTGAGCTCGCTTGGATGTAAATACTGACTTGAAATAAAAGCAAACCAAAAATACTGGCTTGAAATAAAAACCAAACCAAAAATACTAGCTTGAAATAAAAACAAACCAGTGGTTTTTTTAAAAAAAAAGAGCACTCTCTATCAGGCTTGGGGCAACAGGACTGTTTAGGATGTATAGGTAAAGGGAAGGTAGCAAATTAAAAAAACTCTGACATCATTTTTGTTTGCTACGGCAGGAGAGCCAGCCTGCTGCTTTGAGCCCCTAGATGTAACTTGGGCCCTTCTGCACTTTCCTCTCTCCCGTCGGCCCTTGTATGGCTGGAGCAAGCGGAGAAAAGGGCAGCGCCGGAGCCGGCACTGGGGCTTTGCCGGCTCTGCCCCCGCGGGGCTGCCGCTGCCCTCAGGCCGGGCTGCAGCCGGCGGGTGTCCGCGGGGCTGGGCGCGGGTGGCACCGGCTGCTGCTGCGGGAAGCTCGGTGAGCAGCGGGGAAGAGGAAGCCGCCGCTTGGCGGCYGGAGCGGGTTCCCGCCCGCAGAGCAAGCGCTGAGGAGGGTCTGCGCTCCGGGCAGGGACCGCAAGGGCTTGGGACTCCTTGCCCGGCTTGGCCGGGGGTCTGTGCGCTCCTTTCTGGGCGGCCCAAAGGGGCCTCTCCTGCCTGCCCCGCCGCAGGTGCCCCGGCGGCGCATCCAAGCAGATGGCGCTCCTGCCTCGCGCGAGCRCCGCCGGCCGCTCCGTTTCCTGAAACCGGATTCTCGGCGCTTGACAGAGCCGCCTCCTGTCACCGGAGCCATGGAGCTGCGCGCGGAGCTCCTCAAATCCATCTGGTACGCGTTCACCGCCCTGGACGTGGAGAAGAGCGGCAAGGTGTCCAAGTCGCAGCTCAAAGTGAGTAGCGCAGGCGCCCGGCCCGGCCCCGCGGCGCTCCCGGGCTGCCCYGCGGCGCTTGGCGGCTCCCCTCCTTCCCACGGGAATTGCTAAAACGAAGCAGAATCGGGCCCTGCCGTCCTCACCACGTTACCAAGAGCACCTCTTAGTTCAGTTCAGTTCTGCCTCTGATTCACCTGCCTTAAGTAAGAAGGGGAAGGGGGAAGCAGCAGGGAGTTAATGCTCAAGTGCATCTCAGCGGTGAAAATCTCTGGGGAGAAAGCCAGTTTTTTGAGGTGCTTTTATGTCCTTATGCCCGAGCAGCAGCCCTGTCTCGGTCGTATTTTCTTGCTTATCTGAGCGCCCGCATTTCTCCTTCCTGTTCGAGCGGCGGGGTGGTAGGTAGAGGAAGACCGCTCAAAAATACAACTCCGCAGCGGTCRGGCCAGAAATAACATCTCCCTTTTAAAAAGTCTCTGATTGCTGCTTTTCCCTCCCCTTTGGAATTCTGGCAGGGGGATCCCATGCTCAGCACTTCTCCAAACCCCTTGTGGCCTTTTAAGCCTTTCATCTGGGTCTCGTTGGATGCACCGGGATTCTCCTCTGCTTTTCCCAGAGTTGCTTTCACCCTTTGAAAATTTTGAGCCTTTGTTTTATTGCTGCTGCAAAGTGGCGTTCTTGTTGCTGCGAGCCATTAGTSAGGAGCTGCTTTCACTGAAACCGGGGGAAATAGCTGAGGGAATTAGAGCAAATCCCTAACTCAGAGGCTGGAGCCCAGTTCCCTTGGTAATTCCGGGCGCTCCCTCCRTGTCCCGGGGAATGTGGGGATACGGGTCCCAGCCCCGGGCCCCAGTCRCTGCAGGGACGCCGAGACCCTCATCGCAGCGGCGGGCTCCTTGCGAGCGGGCGCATGAGGGCAGGGGGCTGCAGAGTCACCTCGCGAGCTGAGATGCTCTCCCCAGCCGCAGCTTTTTGCAGAGTGACATTTGCGAGCTAAAATTCCAGAGTTTTGCCCCTGGCTTTCTTCCCACGCTTTTGGCATTGAAGTGGGAATGGCTGCTCCGAGCCGGGCTGGGGAGAGGCTCTCCCCAGCGTGCGCCGTGTTGGAAACGCAGGAGCAATCCAGGGTTTGCAGGCTGCTAGCGCGAGCTAGGAGGGAATTGAAGCAGCTCCCGGGCGTGTTGCTACAAGGAGGAGGGTGGGAGAGCTGCCAACGGGCCCCAACGGCAGCACAGCGCGCTCGGCCCCTTCCCAAGGGAGCCGCGGGGCTCTGCGCTGGCTCTGAGCCCTTTGCTGGCCACAGAAGCAAATGTAGGAGCTTTTTCAAGCTCGGTTCCCAGTGGTGGGTTCAGTTCGGGTTTGGTTCCCCCCAGTTCGTGCACGCATGTACCAAGCGCACGCAGGGGAGCAGCAGCACAGGAAGGGTTCGTGGTGACGTGTTGGGAGCTGAGCGGCTGGGGCACCTCTCTGCCTGGCGGGACGCAGGCTGGGCCGGGGCCAAGATGCTCTTTGGGCACCACGTCCCCCTCGGGGCGTTGGGGTGGCCCAGAGGGAAGGGGCAGAGCTGGGAATGGTCTGGGCTGGGATGCAGACTTGGGATGGGAGCAGGGGGTCTTGGGGTGGCCGCAGCGTCCTGCCACCCACTGCCAGCGCTGCCGGAAAAGTTGAGTCACGAACCACTCTGGTTGGCGGCGACTGCACCAAAAATGGCAAAATTTGGGATGCCCCAAAAGCTGCAACCTCGGGGCACGCAGCGGCCTGAGCCCAGGGGAGAGCGGAGCCCGGACTACAACTCCCGTGAGGCACCSCGCCCGCTCCCCGGCAGGGTGCCTGGTGGCTCCGCCCTGGGCATCATGGGAGATGCAGTCCGGGCTTGCGGACACCCTCAGAAAGTGAGCGGGGCTCCGCCGGGGCGCGGGGGGCGGCTCGGCGCGGCCCCGGGGCCGCTCTGCATCCCGCCGCATCCCGGCTCTCACGGACCCCCCCGCTGCTCCGCCAGGTGCTGTCCCACAACCTGTACACGGTGCTGCGCATCCCCCACGACCCTGTGGCTCTGGAGGAGCATTTTCGGGATGACGACGACGGGCCCGTGTCCAGCCAGGGCTACATGCCCTATCTCAACAAGTACATCCTGGATAAGGTGAGTGCCGTGTCCCCTGCACCCGGATTGGGGAGATCCTGCTGGAACAAGGGACTCRGCAAGGGGGGAAACACTCAGCTGGAGGCCAGGGCTCTGCTTGGAGTGCATCCGTGCCAGCTCTTCCCAATGCTGGGAATTGCCCAGCAGAGCAGACCCCACAGTCCATCCCCTTTTCTCCTCCCCATCCCTGTGCAACCCCGAGACGCGACCCTGGGGCAGAAGCGGAGGAGCCAGCGGGTGCCGCGGGYTGCCGAGCGGGCGGGTTTTTCTCTTTCTCTCCTTTTTGCACGGCTCAAAGGCCCCTTTGTTGCGCGCGGCGGGCGCTGGGCACGCGCTTCCTGCGGGCACACGGGCAGAGGAAAACGGGCTCCGAAGCGGCTGACGATTTTCTTCCACTGCGCGCGCCGAAGCCGCAGGGCCGTGGGCACCGTAACCCTTCCCGTGCCGCRTGGTGCCGAGGCCGCGCGGATCGGGCTGCCCCGGTCCCTGTGGGTCCTCATGTGGGTTTGGGGCAACGACCTTTAAGGCTCSTCGGCTGTGGCCGACGCTGTCCCGGGGTTCTCCGAGGAGGGGAAGCCGCTGTTCCTGGTAAGCGGCGCCGCACGCGGCTGGTACCCGACCGCAGGTCCCCTGCGTTTCGTGGAGCCCGACGTGCTGCTCCTCAACGTCACCTGCAGCCCTGCGTGGCCCCAGAGGGCAGCGCTGGGATGGCCTCCGGTCTCAGTGGCCACGTAGCAGCACGAGGGCCACAACGCCTGGATTTGGGGCCCCAATCCCTTTTTCCGGCCCCATCTGTAATGCAGGCCCTGCTTCTCCCTGGTAGGGGCAGGCTTCCCAAGCAGGAGTTTTTTCCCTTTCTCCTGCATCGTCCCCACAGCTCTGCAGCCAGGTCACCCTGCACTCACCGCTCTGCTCTCGGCTGCAGGTGGAGGAAGGTGCTTTCGTCAAAGAAACCTTTGACGAGCTCTGCTGGACCCTCACGGCCAAGAAGAACTACAAGCCTGACCGGAACGGGAACAGCGTCGTGTCCCACCAGGACGCCTTCAAGCTCTGGTGTCTCTTCAACTTCCTATCCGAAGACAAATACCCTCTGGTCATGGTGCCGGACGAGGTAGGAGCCACCTGCTCCCCCTGCCCGCCTTGCTCGCAGCTCCCTTCCCGGCTTCCCGGTGCTCCGAATGCCGGCATGGGGCTGGAATGTCCCAATATCGTTTCCTGACACCTTTCCTACAGCCATTCCGGCACATCCTGGGTGCAAAGGAGAAAACAACCAGGAGCAGGGCCAGGAAAGGGTGATCCTGTCCTGCCCGGTCCCTGCCAGGACCGTGGCCAACACTGGTGCCAAGGAACAGGGGGTGACCAGGGGGCAGCTCCCGGGACCCCTCGGAAATGCCCAAGGCAGCGGCACCTCGGAGGCCGGAGCACGGGCAGGTGCCACGAGGTGCTGCCAGCCGTGGGGCTGCTGGCCAGCAATGCCCCGAGCGTGCCYGTTCTCAGGGCCCTAACAAGGGGCATCGACTCTCTCCTTCCTGCCACGGGGCATCCTTGCTGCTCACCCAGGGCTTGAGCCGAGCATGGTGCCGAACTTAATGGGGGCCAAAGGGAAGATCCCCAGGAGGATAGGCAGGATCCTCTGGAATTCAATGGGGGCCAAAGGGAAGGTCCCCAGGAAGGTGGTCAGAGCCGGGAGGAGGGACAGGCGGCAGCACCCAGGCCCTGCTGCGCTGGCAGGGACTGCACCCCGCCGGGCTCAGGGCTGCCTCCCGCCTCTGCACCATCTCCTGCAGAGATCAGCGAAAAAGGCAGAAAAAAAGGGCAAAAAGGCAAAGCAAAGCAGCGTTGCGCAGATGTGCAAGGGCAACCGCACTTCCTGTTCCGCGGGAGAGGTGTTTCCTGTTCCCCAGAGCGTGACAAACTGAATCATCTTTGTGCTTTACTGCGCTGAGCGAGAAAACACAAACCCCGGCCCCAGAATGCGAGTTAGGCGATGGGGATGGGGATGGGGATGGGGATGGGGATGGGGATGGGGATGGGGAAGGTCCGTGCAGGTCTGGGGGCTCCGGGTGCTTCACCTGTCCCCGTGGATCCCCGCGCTCGCCCACCTCTCTTTCTGCACCAAGCCATGGTGTTACGTGCAGCGATTGCAGCTCCTGTTGACAACAGCTTGTTTAGGGTGTTCACAGGAGAGGCAGCCCCTTGCTCCGCAGGGACCCTCCCCAAGCGGCCCCCGGCTCCGCAGCACCAGCAAGGAGCTCCCCGTGCCCGCCGCGGCTCAGCTCCCTGTGCCCGCAGGTGGAGTATCTGCTGAAGAAGATCTGCACGGCCATGAACGTGGAGCTCGGCTCGTGCGAGCTGGACGACTGCGTGAGCCGGGAGGCGCCGGGCCAGGGCGGCCTCACCGTCTGGCAGTTCCTGGAYGTGGTGAACTCGGCGCGCTTCCTGCGGGGCATCGAGCAGGAGGCCATCAGCATGGCCGTGGAGGAGGTCTACCAGGAGATCATCGAGGACGTGCTCAAGCAGGCAAGGGCGGGCACGGAGCCCGGGGGCGCAGCGCGCTGTGGTGGGAGCTGCGCTCGGGTTTGCAGCTGGCCAGATGTGCTTCTGCCTCCACTGGTTCTCGGCATGACCCCACACCCTTATCCGGGGGGGTTTGCTCTTGRATGTGGTCACCATGTCATTACATGACGCCCCTTCGACCGCTTTCGATGACCTCCGACTCTGTCGGACACAGGGCTACCTCTGGAAGAAGGGGCAGCTGAGGAGGACCTGGTCGGAGCGGTGGTTCACGCTGAAGCCCAGCGCCCTGTCCTACTACATGAGCGAGGAGCGGAAGGAGAAGAAGGGCAGCATCCCCTTGGACAAGCACTGCTGCGTGGAGGTAAACCCGGGGCTGCCGCTTGCCTCCCGTGCCGCGAGGCCCGGCACGGCACAGGGGCTAACGGAGCCTCCAGGGACACGAGAGGGCACTGCGGGAGCTTGGTGTCCATGAGCCCGGCGTCCTCGCTGCTGTCCCGCAGGTGCTGCCTGACCGGGACGGGAAGAGGTGCATGTTCTGCGTGAAGACGCCGTCCCGCACGTACGAGATGAGCGCCTCCGACACCCGCCAGCGCCAGGAGTGGACGCTAGGTCCGTGTGCCCCTAAGCCGGCTTGGTGCCCTCCGCACCGGCTCGGTGCCCCCAGCCCCAGCGTGGGTCCCATCGCTCCCCTTCCTTCCCCAGCCATCCAGACGGCCATCCGGCTGCAGGCCGAGGGCAAGAAGTCCCTGCACAAAGACCTGAAGCAGAAGCGGCGAGAACAGCGGGAGCAGCGGGAGCAGCGCAAGGCGGCCAAGGAGGAGGAGACGCAGCGGCTCAAGCAGCTCCAGGAGGAGAAGGAGCGCAAGCTGCAGGAGCTGGAGCTGCTCAAGGAGGCGCAGCGGCAGGCAGAGCTGCTCTTGCAGGAGGAGGAGGAGCGGCGCAGGCAGCAGCACGAGCACATGCAGAGGACGCTGGAGCTCCAGCTGCGGGAGGCCGAGCAGGTGGGGCCGGCTGCTCCCGCGCGGTCGCTCCGTGCTCCGGAGCCACCTCCGCAGGCTCTCTGAGGGGTGGCCGAGGCCCCATCCCGCCCGCAGGGGCTCCCGTCCCGCCCGCGCAGCAGGGCAGGGCCGCGGGGGCTCCTGCCGGGGCACCGCGCGCGGTGACGGCCCCGCGGCGCCGCAGGCCCGCGCCTCCATGCAGGCGGAGATGGTGCTGAAGGAGGCCGAGGCGGAGCGGCAGCGCAAGCGCATCGTGGAGCTGGAGGAGATGCAGGGCCGGCTGCAGGAGGCCCTGCAGCAGGAGGTGAAAGCGCGGCAGGACGAGGAGGCCGTGAGATACGCGCAGGCCAGGTAGGAGCCGCGCGTCGACCCTGCTCCGTCCAGGCACTGGGGCTGCCTGGCTGCCCCCGGGGATGCCATCGGCACCGCGGCCCACGGCAGCGGCCGGGGCGGCCGCTGGGACACCCGGCACCGCCAGGGCCACGGCCGCGGTGACGAGCTCTGAGCAGGCTGCAGTCGTTCCCTGCGCTCTCGCGACAGGCTGCTGGCTGAGGAAGAGGAGAAGCTGAAACAGCTGATGAAGCTGAAGGAGGAGCAGGAGGAATACATCATCAAAACGCAAATGGAGAAGCAAGTCCTCAAGCAGGAGATGGAGAACAAAAACAAGTGTCTGGAGGAGGCGCAGAAGCAGCTGGAAGAAGTGCGAGTGAACAGGCAGCGGGTGGACCAGGATGTCATGGTGAGCACGGCGGCGGCACCAGCTTCCTTCGCGCCGGGAGCCCCGGGAGCCTTTCCCACTGTCCCCAGAGCTGCCTGTGCGCCAGGGGCTCTGGGCATTGCCCACAGTCGGAAGCGGCTGCTGCAGGGCGGTGGCTTCAGCGCCCTCGCCGCTGTCGTTGCAGGCAGCGCAGCGGAAGCTGCGACAAGCGAGCACCAACGTCAAGCACTGGAACGTGCAGATGAACCGACTGATGCACCCCATCGAGCCGGGAGGTGCGCGGCGGGCCCAGGCCTCCCTCGCGTCCCCGCACCGCGGGCACCGCTCCCTGCCGTGGCGCCCCTCCGTGGGCAGACCCCCCTCAGGACAGCCCTGTCGCTGTCCTTGTGAGCCCCTCGCCCCATCCCCTGAGCTGCAGCGGCTCCGACYGGGTCCCGCTCAATCCCRAAGCGCGGGCTGCTGCCGCTCCTCRCCCCGTGCCAGGGGCTGGCACCGGCGCTCCCGGGACAGCGGCTGCGCTCGGCCCTGCCTGCCCGCGAGGGCAGGCGCTCGAGCCAGAGAGGCTCCCGGCCGCGCGCTCCTCTCCCCCCGGGAAATAACCTGAGCTTTGTGTTTGTCCCCAGACAAGCGTGTGAACGTGAGCGGAGGGGCCTTTGCCGGCTACCAGCCCCTGCTTGCCTGGAGAGATTCCTCCCTGAGGCTCAAGCAGAAAGCGGAGGAGAAGGGCAGCGGTGGCGGCACACGGGACGAGGGTCGGCAGAGCGGGAGCCAGGGCAGCAGCGCGGCGCCGTCACCCGCAGCCGCGGCGCCCGCCGAGCGCACCCACTAGCCCTGAGCGGGCAGCGTGCCGGCGGCACCGCGTGGCCCCGCGCGCAGGGACGGTCCCAGTGGGACAGACGCCTCATGGCAGCGCCTGCTCCGCGCCCAGCGCGGCGCCGCGGGCCACCACGCGCAGGGCATCCGCGCGGCCATGCTCCAGCCGGCRCCGGCCACGGCTCGCCGGGAGCTTTGGAGCCCTCCACGGGGCAGGAAGGCAGCGAGGCTGCGGCCTCCACAGCTCGGGGCCTGGCACCCTTCCCAAGGGAGCTTCCGGATCACCGGCCTGGGGCTGCGGTTCCCGCTCCGTGGTTCCTGGCAGTGCCCCTGCACCGTGCATGGCGCACACGGATGCGGGGCAGCCTCTCCAACCAGCAGCGCCGCCTCAGAAAGAGGGCGCGAGCCGGGGCCGCGCGCGTTCGGGGTCTCCTTAACTCCCCCGTGCTCGCCGACGGCGGCTGCCAGTCTGGAGCCAAGCAGGTATTAGCAGAAACCGACGCACAATAAAAGCTTCAGGAGCTGCCGGTCCGAGGGCCTCCTTCCTCGCAAGGCACCAACTTTCCTGCGCTGCAACGTGGGGTCTTGGTTCCCACTGTGGAAAGGAGCCTATTAAAAGGAAATAGAAACCCCCGGGGGAAGAGCCCCAAGGCRGGTTGATTTGGTCGCTGGAGGACTAAGAGGGACACAGACCCTGCTGAACTGGCCACAGATGCTGCGTCCCGCTGTGTGTGTCAGGGCAGGCACCAGGAATGTCTCTAGCTCCAAAAAAAAAAAAAAAAAAAACAGGATTAGGGCAAGCTGATCCACACGTTACCTTCCCTGGGAAGTTTGGGTCCCCTTCGAGGCCGGGCATGTTTGTGGTCCGGGTGAACAGGTTATTTAGCTGAACCAGCTCCGTGGGTTTGAGCCTAAATCAAAGGCAGCCCTCCCAGGCTTGTGTGGGCTTTAATGCCCCCGAATAACCAAGTCCCAGCCCTGCCTTCCCCCACAGGACTTGGGGAGCGCTGGGGCTGCCTGGCACTTAGGGGCCTGCATAGGAAGGTAGCGATTGTCTGGACTTAGTTTAGTTCCTGCCCTTGATCCAGGACTCAGCTTCAGGAGTCCTGGTTCACGATGGGCTCCTAAGTCCGCGGAAGGCGGTAAGAGACTCCCCGAGGCGGCTGCGTCGGCTCCGTCCCATCCTGGAGCGGCTCCATGCGATCCCGGAGCGGGAGGCTGTGCCTGCCGTCCTCAGCAGCACCGGGCGGCCTCTCTCCGCCAGATGCTTCGCTCCCTGAAGGAACAAGGACGAAGGCCGGGCGCTCCGGCAGAGCTCCGGCACACGCGGTGCGAGCAGCGCCGCCGAGCCGTTCCCTCGGCGCTGCTTAACCGCAGCCGCGTGGCCGGTGACGCGGGGCTCGCTGCCCGCTCGCGGTGTCCACCCGTGACCGGGGCGTGTGCGCGGCTCGGGGGGCCGCGGTGCGGGACGTGTCCCCGCGGCGCCGCGC